CGTTGAATGGAAATAAAAACGCCATATCCGACTTTAATCGTCAGTTCGCAGGGTCAGTTCTGCTGACTCTTATCTCAGTAAATGACACTTTTATGGGTTAGTTCCCCAGCTGCCTTCGTCCTGAGACCTCTGCACTGCAGATAACGTCTCGCTGTTCTGGCACGTTACCAGCTCTAGGTGCCTCGTGATGTTTGAGGAGGTACTACAGACGCAGTGATATATAAGATGGCTGTATCAACATGGCAGCAGGATTACCATTGTAAAGCTGTATACATTACATAAATGTAGTGTTTATTTTTTTTTAAAGTCTGGAGTTTGTGAGACTTCATTAACGATTCATTTGATTTATAGCACCTGGTCATAAGAGTCAGCGGAAGAGTTCAGCAACTCAATTGACTGATTCATTTCATTATAAGAACCTGCTCATACGAATCATTGTGAACTTCATTACTTTAGTTTTTATGCTTAGCCACCCAAGAGCAAAAGAAAGATACGCCATGATTTTTATTATCTAATGAGAGGGCTAAAGTTGCTAAAGTTTGGTTTGGTGTTTCTTTTTTCATTAAAACCACCTTTTCAAAAGAGTCATTTGTTTGTGAATCAGACTATAGTGTGTTTGTTTTTGCACATTTTTTCCATTTATAATTTAAAACCAACATTAATTACGCAGTACTCTGTATATTTGAGGCCACACAGTTCAGTAAATAAGTGAGATGTTAATTCAATTATTCAATTAGTCAACTTTCGAGTTTGTGAGTCTTTTTTTACTAATTCATTTCATTATAAAAACCTGCTCACGAATCATTTGTTTGTGAATTGAATTACGTTAGTTTGTTTTTATGCTTAGCCATCGAAAGCAGAATATGCAAAAGAAAGACATGTCATGATTTGGAGTGGTCTTAAACACAGAGTGGCTAAAGTTAGGCTTTTCTTTTGTTTTTGTTTGTTTGTTTTTTCAAACCCTAAACTGATAGTCCATCCAAAAACGAAAATGCTGTCATTATTTGCTCACCCTCATGTCATTCCAAACTGGTTTGACTTTCCTTTTTTTCTGCAGAATACATTGAACATTTTGAAGAACAGTTTCTGTTCCCATTGACTTCCATTGTATTTTTTGTCCATACAATGGAAGTCAATGGGAACCAAAACTGTTTTTCATTACAAGAACCTGCTCATAAGAATAATTTGTTTGATATTTGAATTACATTAGTACAATAATTTGTTTTTATGCTTAGCCAGAAGGGCAAAGGATGCAAAAGAAAGACATCTTGATCTGGATTATCTGATGAGTGAATTCAAAGAGGCTTTGGCTACTTTTTTTAATGACGTCAGTAAATCAGTAGTTTGCCCATCATAGAATGTAAAAGTCCTTCTAATGGCCCCTCTGTTTCCAACTATGAGCCTACACTTTTACATTTGAAGGATGCAGCCTGGGCAGTCTTTCCCGCAAGAGTTGAGAGATGATAACTAAAGGTTAAAGACAATAGCATTAAGTGTTTCATTTTAACCGGCACATTTTGAAAGATTAACCGATTAGCTCTGCACTTTGCGGCACACTGCCTCATCCAGACCGCATAGATGAAGAGATTTAAAAGTCTGGAGTTGCTCAGAGAGATCAGATTACATTTAAAAGTTTTTCTACCCTTCGAAACAACTGAGGCAATTAGTTTATAGAGTAACTGCTCTAAGTGTTGTCCATCTTTAGTAACAAAGATTTTACTGCGATTGGCATGCCATCTGAGTTAATGCAATGTTCTGTTCAGAATAAGAGCTGCTACTCATCCGTCATCGCATTTGTATTCAAGACTTGACTGAAGTTTCCAAAAATCTCACAGTTTCTGCTGCAGATAAATGATATGAAATGTAACCTCCTAATGAAGGTAATGTAGCCTTATTAGACTCACTCCAGGGAATGTGAGTGTTCAGATGAACCTCTACCTTGTGGCTTAACTTTCCAATTCGATTTTATGCTCTAATTTCTGGGTAGTTTGTTCCTCAGCCTACTTGCCAAATCCTCAGAGAGCTAAATTGATAGCATCCTTTGGCTTTGGGCCTTTCGGGCTGTGTCCGGGTTATGATCCAGGCCTGCGAAGAGAGAGAAGAAGAGAGATAACCCAGCCATGCCCTCCAGGATTTACTGTGACTGGGGAGGGGAGAGAGGAAGAGGGACTGGCACGGCGGAGGGGAGCGGGACGAGCCCGGAGGGAGCGCAGATCGCCTCGCTGCTCAGCATTGCGAGTCTGTTTAGTATTCCTGTCACGTCAGCTGGAGGGAGCGGCATTAAATTGGGATCAGGCAGATTAGAGTCTAATATAGCCAGCTATTAAAGGCTGCAAATGAGAGTGGTGGGTTACAGCCGGAGCCTGGGCCCCTCACCCAGTCTCACAGCTTCTCTCAGTCTTTCAAACAGGCTCTGCGAGGGGGGAAAAATATACACACACAGGAACACGGATAGGATAGGATAGGATAGGATAGGATAGGATAGGATGCTATTTTGACATAGTGTTTCTTGCATGCAACAACGAACAGAGCACAAGCTATGATGTCCGATTTGTGAACAAATTTGGATAGGATAGGATAGGAGATAGGATGGGATTGGAGATAGGATAGGAGATGGGATAGGATAGGATAGGATAGTATAGGATAGGATAGGATAAGATAGGATAAGATAGGATGCTATTTTGACATAGTGTTTCTTGCATGCAACAACGAACAGAGCACAAGCTATGATGTCCGATTTGTGAACAAATTACTCTTATGAATATATATGCGGAAAATGATTATTTTAACCCTCATTCTGAGCATCTGTCTGGAAAGATCCAATTTTAAGGGGCGACTTCTTTTAGTGCTGTCCGTAAACAGCCACTGTTATGATTACTGTATTTATGCTCAAATAAATGCAGCCTTGGTGAGTATAAAAAGTATTTACCCCAAAAAAACATGTATTAAAAAAATACCATGCATATAGTATAAATATTGTTCCAAAACAGTGACGTAATATATATTATGATAATATATATAATATACACTCACCGGCCACTTTATTAGGTACCCCATGCTAGTAACGGGTTGGACCCCCTTTTGCCTTCAGAACTGCCTCAATTCTTCGTGGCATAGATTCAACAAGGTGCTGGAAGCATTCCTCAGGGAGTTTGGTCCATATTGACATGATGGCATCACACAGTTGCCGCAGATTTGTCGGCTGCACATCCATGATGCGAATCTCCCGTTCCACCACATCCCAAAGATGCTCTATTGGGTTGAGATCTGGTGACTGTGGAGGCCATTTTAGTACAGTGAACTCATTGTCATGTTCAAGAAACCAATTTGAAATGATTAGAGCTTTGTGACATGGTGGAAGTAGCCATCAGAGGATGGGTACATGGTGGCCATAAAGGGATGGACATGGTCAGAAACAATGCTCAGGTAGGCCGTGGCATTTAAACGATGCCCAATTGGCACTAAGGGGCCTAAAGTGTGCCAGGAAAACATCCCCCGCACCATTACACCACCACCACCAGCCTGCACAGTGGTAACAAGGCATGATGGTTCCATGTTCTCATTCTGTTTACGCCAAATTCTGACTCTAACATCTGAATGTCTCAACAGAAATCGAGACTCATCAGACCAGGCAACATTTTTCCAGTCTTCAACTGTTCAATTTTGGTGAGCTCTTGCAAATTGTAGCCTCTTTTTCCTATTTGTAGTGGAGATGAGTGGTACCCGGTGGAGTCTTCTGCTGTTGTAGCCCATCCGCCTCAAGGTTGTGCGTGTTGTGGCTTCACAAATGCTTTGCTGCATACCTCGGTTGTAACGAGTGGTTATTTCAGTCACTGTTGCCCTTCTATCAGCTCGAACCAGTCTGGCCATTCTCCTCTGACCTCTAGCATCAACAAGGCATTTCCGCCCACAGAACTGCCGCTCACTGGATGTTTTTTCTTTTTCGGACCATTCTCTGTAAACCCTAGAGATGGTTGTGCGTGAAAATCCCAGTAGATTAGCAGTTTCTGAAATACTCAGACCAGCCCTTCTGGCACCAACAATCATGCCACGTTCAAAGTCACTCAAATCAACTTTCTTCCCCATACTGATGCTCGGTTTGAACTGCAGGAGATTGTCTTGACCATGTCTACATGCCTAAATGCACTGAGTTGCCGCCATGTGATTGGCTGCTTAGAAATTAAGTGTTAACGAGCAGTTGGACAGGTGTACCTAATAAAGTGGCCGGTGAGTGTATGTCATAATTTATATGACACAAATGCAATCAGGATCACTACAATGACACCATCAAATGGGACCATAACCTCTGAACAATTCTGCAATTTGCCAACTAAAACATCTCCTAAATGTTTCATTTTGGGATCCTACTGCTCCCTAGTGTTTTTCTATATGCTGTCCTTATTGACTTAAGCGTGACCCTTAATCATTTGTTGTGGTGATGTTGTTTTCTTTTTAATTGAATCTGCATGTCAGGCTAGGCTTAGCTTTCAAGAGGCTGAGCTGAGTGAATTTGAGCTTTCATTAGGTCTGCTCTTCAGCAGAAGCCTCTCTCTGGACAGGCTTAAACCAGTGCAAACATATTCATCCTCTGATGATACAGGAAATGTAAATGCTGTTAACATGACAAATGTCAACTTGCTAGAAGAAACCTTTAGACAGAGCTTATGCCTACAATCAAATGAAGATGACAAAGATTATATATTCTGCTGTGTAATGTCATCTGTCCTGACTGAACCAATTGAACTGGTTATTTATTTTATTAAACACTGGTGTATGGCTTACTGCATAATCCACAGTAGGCTATATACTCTCTAATTCCTTCAGAATATGTGAAACATGATGTGTGGAAAGATACAAAATAAAATAGGATAGGATTATGGTTAATAAGCATTATTATGCTCATAAGGCTGCATTAATTTACACATGATACAGTAAATGATGAATACTATCAAAAATACAGTAATATATAATTAAATATGATCTCTTTCTGTGTCCGGCAGACATCCTCTTTTCCCTCTTCTGGCGTTGCTGTTTGAGAAGTGTGAGCAAGCAACACAGGGCTCAGAATGCATCACCTCCGCCAGCTTTGACGTCGACATCGAGAACTTCGTCCACCAGCAAGAGCAGGACCACAAGCCTTTCTTCAGTGAGGACCCTGAACTAGACAACCTGGTAAACACTCATGTCTCTTGTTGCTTTATTTGTGTCAAGTTCAGCTGTTTACCTGCTCTTAAAAACCGGTTTACTTCCTGTACCTAAATGTCACATTTGCACTGCCCTCTGCTGGCATATTTGCACTGTATAGTGTATACTTTTAAATTCTGAGGTAGTTTGTTGTTTAAATTATCATTAAAACGAATAATAAACAATGTTTTATTGAAAATAAAAAGTGTTAGTCACAATGACACTCGCCCACCCCAGTCCGTAGCTCTTTTCTTCCCCTCTATTGTTCTCGTTTCCTCTAACTCTCTCCCTCATATTCATCATCTCATCTCTTCTGTGCCCTGCAAGACAGTTAACAGTAATTAGAAATTAAGGGAAGGAGGAAGAAAAAGGTCACTGTACATCATTACCGGGGCACTCGGCCGACTAGCGCTGCTCAGTCAATTAACTCTGCATCTGTGTGCTTTACGACACACTGGTCACACACACACACACGAGTCTTCCGTTCACTAACTCTTCACCGCGACAGTTATAGCGCCCGCGCTGCGCTTCGTTCTCGCCTCAGAGAGATGGCACTGAGCCCTGATTAAACGAGCTGCAGTAATTGGCAGATTTATCTCCTCCTTGGCAAAGCATTTTTTAGCCCATTTGGTCGTCCTTGAGTTCTGACTTTGGGCGGTGACTATTTGAATGGGTAGTTGGAACTGAAAGTTCAGTCCCGTCCAACTGTGTCAGCAGAACTCGAAAGTGTTTGTAGCATTAAGCAACGCAACCAGGCAAACCGCGGCAGGCAAATTCTTGCTCAGAATTTATTTTGGTTTTGTTTTTGTTTTTGAAAAACTGAAATAATTATTGAAATAATTCACTAAATGAAGGAAATTCCTTCATTATTTACTTCTTTTTTTCCCCCAGAATGTACTGGTTGCCCTTTTTCATACAATAAATGGTAAAAAAATCACCATAAAATATAAAAAAGTGACCCATATTATAGTGCACAATATATTCAAATTCTTCTGAATTCAAATTATACCTTAGTTCGAGGAACAGATGTTACTTCAAGTCCAAAATCATCCCTTTGTTATTTGAATGAATAAATGAATAAAATAATACATTTCTTTATTTATTTCAGGTTGTATCATCTCTTTTTTGATGCTGTATCTTAAATTTAATTTTCAGTACTGGCATCTTGCTAAATTAAATTAATTAGATGTAAATATTTGATTAAAAACTTAAACATTCAAATGAAAATTTGAAATGTTGCCTTTGCAACGGAAATAAGTTGATAAATTGATGAACTAAAACTGAAATAATTATAAATTATAGCTATATATATATATATTAAAAACTAATAAAAAGTCAAAAACTTTAAGCTACAACTTAAATGAAAATTAAAAGCTAATTTAAAATAATCATTAAAATAGTCAAATAGTACGTATATATGTAAATACTTTGTAAACTACTTCGTGTATCAATTTTTGTGTGTTGTGTTGACCGCAGTGTTGGGGAAAGTTACTTTTAACAAAAAAAGTTTTATTTTTGGCAAATGTAAAGGCCAGTCATACCAAAAGTGAAATGAATAAGCCTCAGGAAAAGCAAAGCAACATTACGCCTGTACAGTAGACAGAGGGTGCAGCTCAAATAAACCTTTCAAACAAATGCAGGTGAAGAAAGTTCAACACTCTTACTTCAGCCATAAAAACAAAAAAATGAAACACAAATGTGATGTTAAAAGTCAATTTTGCTTATTCATATGGTTGAATTGGATAATCAAAGGTCAGCAGCAAAGACATTGGTTAATAAAGTGAGATTAAATACATAAAGTATATTTTTATTATGTAAAACAACATTTTTGCGTTTGCGTTATATTCTGAGTTTGTATTTCAGTTTTTATTTTTTTATTTAGAAAAATACTGAATCTGCTTTTGTGCAAGTGAAATGTGTAAATGTTCACATTTAGTCTAGAACTACAATAACCCTCATGTTTACAAAGCGGACACAACGCCTTACGTCTGATTTCTCTCAACACGAGGACAGGAGAGGTGTTAGTCAATAAATGAGAAAACACGTTACTTATTTGAAAAAGTACCTCAGATATTTCGTTCTAAATTTAAAAGTAATGTGCTATTTTAGTGACTTGAAAACATAACTCACGTTACTTGTAATGCGTTACCCCAACACTGTGACACAGATGGTGAAGGCGATCCAGGTGTTGCGGATCCACCTGCTGGAGCTGGAGAAGGTGAACGAGCTCTGTAAAGACTTCTGCAACCGTTACATCACCTGCCTCAAGACCAAGATGCACAGTGACAATCTGCTACGGAACGACCTGGGCGGCCCGTATTCACCATCACAGACCAACCTCGGTCTGCAGCAGGTGACTGACAAACACATTCTCCCTAGACCTTCAGTCTAAAGGCTAAAGGTTGTTTCTAACACATAAACACAGTGCCATATGAATGCACACACTATCACAGCAGTAACATTTACACTTGCACGAACACAAGCTCTTCTCCCGGGGATGCAAAAGGTCACATCTGGCTTGCCCTTGCTGCTCCTGCTGAACTTTGCTGACCTCTGCGTGAGAAGACTTAAAGCACACACTTTTGGATTTTTAGGACTGTCAATCAATTATAACTGAATTAAAATGGCAATCAAATGATCCGATTAATCGGAATTAATCACATATGCTCTACTGTTCAAAAGTTTGGGGTCAGTGATTAAAAAAGAAGAAGAAATTAATGCTTTTATTCAGCAAGGACACATTAAACCGATCGAAAGACAGCAGCATTGAAGACATTTATAATGTTACAAAATATTTCTATTTCAAATAAATTCTGTTCTTTTGAACTTAATTGTATTCATCATAGAATCCTGAACAAATAATATTAAAACAATATTAAGCAGCACTACAGTTTTCATAATTGATGTTAATAAGGAATGTTTCTTAAGCACGAAACTTCATCTAGAATCTACAATAATAGTGCGTGCTTGTCTGTCACTTTAAATGCTCGAGCTCGTTACAGCAGGATGGATTCTGATTGGCTGTTAATGTTTGAATCGTTCATCAGCTAGATAAAATCATTCTGAAAGTGATTCCAACTATATAGTTTCTTTCAAATTTAGAACGATTTTTAGAACTATATCTTTATAGTTATCGTCCTTGGTGTGAACGCACCTTTAGTTCCATTGTTTTAAGTAAATTGTGCGCACGTCATGATATAATAATTAATCTCCTTGTTTTTAGTAAATCGTGGCCACATTGAACTAATTCGTTCCCTCGTTTTGACTGAACTAAAAAAAGGGAACAAATTATTAGAACATGGTCGAGATTTAGTAAAACAAGGGAATTAATTATAATATTGTATTCATGATTTACTTAAAACGAGGGAAAGAATTAGTAAAACGTGCTGATGTAGGAACAAATTGTTAATTCATGGCCACGATATACATATTTTTTGGTCCTCATGTCATGTGCAGGGTTCTGTATAATAGAGGGACTTCTATTCAGAAACATTAATAACAATCTTGCCAACCCCAAGCTGTTAAACGGTATTGTATTTTTTTAGAAAAGTCCCCAAATGAAGATAATTTAGGCCATTATATTTTGAATGTTTTATTTCCATGTTATATAATTGATACCTTATTATGGCATTTACAGGCATAATTATTGTGTGTTCATTTATATTGGGTTCTTTTAAATAATATTTAAATAATAAATGACATATCATAATAACATATATTAAAAAATATAATGTTTACGATGTTCACAAAATTTCATACAAAGTCATATCCCCCAAGAAATTCTCATGTGGACAGTAACTTCTATTTCCTCCTCCTCCTCTTATAGGACCTGCTTCACAACTCATCCCCATCCCTCACCTCTGTCTCCAGCACGATAAACCCCTCTGGGATCGTAGTCCCTGCCGGATCGCTGCAACAGAACAACGTTGCCATGACCACTATCAACTCTCAGGTGGTCTCAGGTGAGGAGGCCAATCATCAGTCCCTTTGCCCGCTCCAAAATCAGAGATCTCAGCATTCGGAACTGCTTTCCTTTCCAAATTCGTGAAAGTAATGCACATTATCTTCATTTATATAGCTTTTTCTTTGACTCATTTTCTTTACATCCATCTCCCTTTCACATTGTGAATACAGAATGTCTAATTACTGTGAAATCGAGCTAATTAGGAGCAAAACAAGAGCTCCTTGTTCTCTTCTTGATCCGTTCCGAATACCCTTTTGTTTTATTTTGGCGCAGTGAACGCGAGGTGATTTGGTATTACAGTATTTCAACAACAGGGAGGTAGAGTCTGTGATAACCTCAGTCCCGTGTCTGTGACTGATTCCCACAGGTGGGACGCTGTATCAACCGGTGGCAATGCTTACCTCACAGGGGCAGGTGTTAACCCAGGGCTTACCACAGGGAACCATCCAAATCCAAAACAATCAGGTGAGGGGAGCCGCTCAACAGACTTGCTGTTCTGCTTTGATGCAGAGAAACTGCAGGGCTGTATCTTCACAAGTAATTCTGGTGAATTATTTCTATAGCCTGATGCCTTCAGTGTACGGATGCCCTTTTTTTTTTTTTTTTTTTTTTTTTTACATTTTACTCCATCCACTTTTTTAAATGAAATATTACTAAATTATTTACCAATATACATGTAAATATTATTTGTTTTGCATTTACATGGCTTCAGACAGTTGCATTGGCATATTTTGATACTTTTTTATGTCTGCTTAGGATGTCTATGGCCTACTAATTGAAATTAAATTTGGCCCTAATTCATAAAACACAAGCAGAACAAATTTCTGTGTAAATAATTAATAACTCCATTCATACGTTCAACCCCATTGAAGTGGATGCAATTTGTGAATGGTTTTACATAATGGTTTTACATAAGATTATGCAGATTGTTTGTCCTTTCTCTTCACAAATAAGACCCAAAATGGAGGAGGAGGGGGGGGAGATAATTTATTAATTTAACACTTATTTGTCAAATATTATTGAATTATTAATTAACATATTATCAATTTTTATATTTATATATTTTTATTTTATATACAAATATATATAATTTTTTTATTATATACAGTATATATATATACACTGTATTTATTTGTAAAAAATATTATTAAATAATTAAATAATTTAAAAATAAATCAGAGTAATCATATTAAAACCACACACACACACACATAAAGTATATATATATATATATATATATATATATATATATACACATCCCACAATGTAAATTAATAATGGATTAATATATATTTTTTCAATTAATGTTATTTTCATTTAACTGTTGCCTAAGTCGGAGCTGATTGGTCCATTTGTTAGCAAAACCCCTGAGGTGACGTGTCACATTAATGCTCATAGATAACCCTTATGATGCATTGGTTGCTTCAAGTATAGACATGATGCAGTTTATTTAGCAATTCTAGAGCTGTTAGTTAGTATTTTCGTTGCTGTCAAGTACAAGTCAGGTGAGTCAGGGTTTGACAGACAGCTGGAGCCTGTGCGGATCCCCAACATTGGGCCGAGGTGCTTCACTACACGCAAGCTGGGAATAGAGTTCTGCCCGTAGCTACTTCTCCGACAAGCTTTCAGTAATAATACCACTGCATGAAGCCTCCAATTAATTCACTCTGCTTCCTGAATCACACACTCTCCCCCAATGTGTTTGTGTGTGTGTGTGTGTGTGTGTGTATTTTGAGTAGAGGAATGGGGGAAGAACCACATGACACCCAGCTGCAAATGTAATGAGGAGGTTGTTTTTAGAGCTTGATTATTATTTATTTATTTAAAAATTTTAAAATCAGTGGGGAGCTGCTGCTTTTTATGGCTTTCAGTGGCAATGGTAGCATGAAATTAATTATCCCTATTTTCAAAGTGGAAATGTTAATTTTTCCTTTTCTTCTTTTATTAATTTATTTATTCGCAGACAGAGCTCTCGTAGATTATGCATCTTAAACGTCTCTGAAATGTTAATGCGCCAGTCTCAGAATGCTGTAAACCAAAGGAAAATAAATCGTTAATTTAGCACGCATCCTTTAAATAGTCACTCTCAAACTCTTGCATGTTCGCTCGCCTTACATTAATCGTACTTCATAAGTTTGATGAAAAGAAAAAAAAATTGGCGACATTTTCTGCAGCTCTTTGAGTTGATGAAAGGCTTCTTTAAATGCACCCTCCTTGGCTTTAATTTTAGGTATCATTACTCCCATTGCGTTGCTATGGTGACTAAAGGCATTCCTGCCCCTGCCAAAGAAATGGTGACTGGCGACTCTCTTTGTTTCCGTGGCAACTATCCCTCCCTCTCCCCCACTCACTTTCTCGTCTCTCTTCTCTCTTTCTTCCAAGGTGAACCTGGACTTGTCCTCACTCTTGGACGCCGATGACAAGAAATCAAAAAACAAACGAGGTGTCCTTCCTAAACATGCCACAAACATTATGCGTTCCTGGCTCTTCCAGCATCTCATGGTGAGAAAAAGGATGCGTGTTTTATTGCCCTACAAGCCAAAGAGGAGTTTTAAATGCACTGCAAAATCTCACTCCAATGAGATAAAGACAAACATATAGTTACCTCAGAAGACTAAAAATAAAGGCACACCATTTAAATAATACCTTATAACATTTTTTGTATCCCAATTTTGTTTCCCAGCATCCTTATCCTACAGAAGATGAGAAAAGACAGATCGCAGCACAAACAAATCTTACCTTATTACAGGTGAACAACTGGTAAGAATGACTCGTTTGTTGCATTAGATTAATCCTTAGCAAAATGGCGCCATCTAATGGCCACAAACAAAATCACAAACCCTTGTTTATGATTTGCAAATAGTATCCTGGTATGTCTTATATCAGTGTCCTTTTTTTCTGTCTCTCTCGTCTCTCTTTGAAAGGTTTATCAATGCCCGCAGGCGTATACTGCAACCCATGTTGGATGCCAGTAATCCTGACCCTGCCCCCAAAGCCAAGAAGATGAAATCTCAGCACAGACCCACACAGCGCTTCTGGCCCGACTCCATTGTAGCTGGAGTCCTGCAGACACACGGATCCCACTCAGCAAACAATTCAGACAGTCAGTAATATCAACATATTCTCTCATAGGAGATATTATTTACATACTGGATATTATATATATATATATATATATATATATATATATATATATATATATATATATATATATATATATATACTGAACTGAATACTAAACATTAAAAATGACAAAATATGAATCACTAAAGGATTCATTTAGTGATTTTACAAAATTAGTTTATTATATTTATGTCTGAGTTGAGTATATCCTCAGACTTAAAATCACAATAAAAAAATTCCAGGAATTTCTAGAATGTCCCACTGCAGCTATATAAATGGAAATGATATATATATATATATATATATATATATATATATATGTATAAATCTTTGCATTTTGTATAATTTATCATATATATATATATATACACACACACATATATATATATATATAATATATATACACACACATATATATACTGTATACATATGCGTGTGTGTATGATGCATAATAAAATAAATATACAGTGGTGTGAAAAAGTGTTTGCCCCCTTTGTAAATATGATCAGAGATGGCTGTAAAAAATAAATCTGCATTGTTAATCCTTTTGATATTTTATTTTAAAAATTTGAAAAAATCTAACCTTTCATTGAAGTAAAAGAATTGAAAGTTGGGGGAAAATCACATTATGAAATAAATGTTTTTCTCCAAAACACGTTGGGAACAATTATTTGCCCCCTTTTATTAAATACTTTTTGCAACCTCCTTTTTCCAAGAGACCAGCTCTGAGTCATCTCCTATAATGCCTGATGAGTTTAGAGAACACCTGACAAGAGATCAGAGACCATTCCTGCATACAGAATCTCTCCAGATCCTTCAGATTCCCAGATCCATGTTGATGCTTCTTCTCTTCAGTTCAGCCCACTCATTTCCTATGGGTTCAGGTCAGGGACTGGGATGGCCATTGCAGATGCTTGGTTTTGTGCTCAGTGACACATTTTTGTTTTGATTTTGATGCTTGTTTTTGGATTACTGTCCTGTTGGAAGATCCAACCACGGCCCATTATAAGATTTCTAGCAGAGGCTGTCAGGTTTTGATTTTTTATCTATTGGTATTTGAACGAATCCATGATGCCATATATCTGAACAAGATGTCCAGGACTTCTGGCAGAAAATTAGGCCCACAACATTAAAGATACAGCAGAGTATTTCATTCTACACATGGGGTACTTTTTATCCCTGTGTGCACCTAACCCATCTTAAGTGTTTACTGCCAAAAAGCTCTTTTTTTTGTTTCATCTGACCATAGAACGTTTGAAAAGTAACTGACACTACAGGAACTTCAAATGGGATGGGTTCTATGGTCAGATGAAACAAAAAAATTAGCTTTTTTGGCAGCAAACACTTAAGATGGGTTAGGTTCATACAGGTATAAAAAGTACCCCATGTGTAGAATGAAATACTCTGCTGTATCTTTAATGTTGTGGGCCTAATTTTCTGCCAGAGGTCCTGGACATCTTGTTCAGATATATGGCATCATGGATTCGTTCAAATACCAATAGATAAAAAATCAAAACCTGACAGCCTCTGCTAGAAATCTTATAATGGGCCGTGGTTGGATCTTCCAACAGGACAGTGATCCAAAAACAAGCATCAAAATCAAAACAAAAATGTGTCACTGAGCACAAAACCAAGCATCTGCAATGGCCATCCCAGTCCCTGACCTGAACCCATAGAAAATGAGTGGGCTGAACTGAAGAGAAGAAGCATCAACATGGATCTGGGAATCTGAAGGATCTGGAGAGATTCTGTATGCAGGAATGGTCTCTGATCTCTTGTCAGGTGTTCTCTAAACTCATCAGGCATTATAGGAGATGACTCAGAGCTGGTATCTTGGAAAAAGGAGGTTGCAAAAAGTATTTAATAAAAGGGGGCAAATAATTGTTCCCAACGTGTTTTGGAGAAAAACATTTATTTCATAATGTGATTTTCCGCCAACTTTCAATTCTTTTACTTCAATGAAAGGTTAGATTTTTTCAAATTTTTTCAATAAAATATCAAAAGGATTAACAATGCAGATTTATTTTTTACAGCCATCTCTGATCATATTTACAAAGGGGGCAAACAGCATGGGAAAAAATGCTGTTCTTTAAAACTTACTATTCATCAAAGAATCCTGAAAAAAAAAAAAATAGGACTGTTTCCACAAAAATATTAAGCAGCACAACTGTTTCATATGGAGGACCAACTCTACCATATTTAAAAATAAATACAGAAATAAATAAATGCTCAATAAATAAATAAGCATACAATTAATTGCCCCAAAAATACAATAAACAAATAAATGTAGGTAGAAATTAAATTATACAGTGAGACATAAATGTATATATCTCTTTTAATTAGCTTCTTTATTTATTCACCTTTGTAATAATTACATTATTTATTTATTGTCCGTTATAATCTTCAACTTTATTTATTAATTACTTATTTTTTTAAAGTATTTATTTATGTGCATGTTATAATATTTTTGTCTGTTTTATTCTTCCTTTGTATTTTTTTACCCTATTTATTTCTTCAATGCTTTTTATTTCTGCCTGTCGTTTTTACATTTCTGTATGCATTTCTGCCTCATTATGTAAATGAGGAGGGGCTGTGTCTTAAGGGGTCAACTTCTGCCCATTGGTTGGTTAGCATTTTACTGAATCTACATGCCACCGGCCGCAAATTTTTTTTTTTTTTTTGCAGGGTGGTAGGGGAAGACTCATTAATATTCATTAGGGAACTCATCCCTGATTGTCAATTTAAAAGATACATTTTAAAGTCAAGAAAGTCGCAGTTTGCTGTAAAACTGTTGAGGTATAAAGCCCCGTTCACACCGCCAGCGATTTTGTCGCTACATGTCGCTAGTCTCTGTACTGTGAAGTCGCTTGTGGGCGTTCGTAGTGCTGTCGCTCTAATGTTATTGGTTGACTGCACGCCTGGCCATATCTATACAAAATACCACCAGAAGTGATATATATACAACAATATCATTTTAATTTGACTAGGAATTAGGCTCAAAAGAAACAGTATGCTGTTGGGAGAGTGTTTTTATATTACCACAGCAGTGTTCAGTGGATTAAATCATTTACAAGATTAACGATCGATGAATCAACAAATTAAACTCACTCATTCCGTCATAAATTTCTAAAACGTCATTCGAATTTGACAAATAATCGATTTTCTTGTCCCTAATAGTTAACATAATGCAGGGGAAACTGTAAAATGAACTGCAGCAGTGCTAAACTTGCATCACAAAATTACAACACTCGAACTTTAAATGTATGAATTAAACTCACTGAGACTGTCGACAGTTTCTTTTCCATGCCTCATTTTGTTATATCCATGTATGTGGTTACAGTCAAATCATATAAACAGTGAAATCTCCCTCGAACTCCTCTGTCTTGCCTGCACTCGAGACGGTGACGTGAGCTCCACTGAAAGTCTTCTTTCCTATTGGTTGTCGCTCGCGAAAATCGCTTCACATTTGCATAAAGTTGAAATTTCTCAACTTTTGTCGCTTGTCTCTTGTCGCTTGACACGCCCACATTCTGTCGCCAACGGTCACTGTCGCTCGTGTCGCCGGATGTCGCCAGCGCTCCATTGAAATGAATGGGATCATGTCGCTTTGTCGCTGCGTGTCGCTGGCGGTGTGAATGGGGCTTTAGACTGTGAAAATACGTAATTAAAAAGACTACAAACCCAAACGGCGCACATTTTCTCTCAATGAATAAAGCTAACTTTAATGAAGCTAACGTCTGTCATTTCGTCTATAGTCTGACGTTATAATCGTCACGTTACGCCGTCATGCCGGAGTGTTTTGTACCAGACTGCACACACACACGAGCAGCGGATCTCGCTCGTTGTTTCGCTTCCCGGGAGATGTAGTTCATTGAGCGATTTTTACAAAAAACTAAATGTTACTCTTCTGTTTTATGACAAACTGCGACTTTCTTGACTTTCATAATTATCTTTTAAATTGACAAACATCATATGTGTAATTCAGGGCACAGTTCAGACGGAATAAAAAGATAAGTTGTCTCTCGCCATTGACTACCATACATATTTTTTCCGAAATAAGGTCCCATGAGCCGGAAGCGGCGGGGCGGGACTTAGGCTCTCTATGGGCAGAAGTTGACCCCTTAAGACACAGCCCCTCCTCATTTGCATAATGAGGCAGAAATGCATACAGAAATGTAAAAACGACAGGCAGAGATAAATAGCATTGAAGAAATAAATAGGGTAAAAAAATACAAAGGAAGAATAAAACAGACAAAAATATTATAACATGCACATAAATAAATACTTAAAAAAAAAAGTAATTAATAAATAAAGTTGAAGATTATAACGGACAATAAATAAATAAGGTAATTATTACAAAGGTGAATAAATAAAAAAGCTAATTAAAAGAGATATATACATTTATGTCTCACTGTATAATTTAATTTCTACCTACATTTATTTGTTTATTGTATTTTTTGGGGAAATTAATTGTATGCTTATTTATTTATTGAGCATTTATTTATTTCTGTATTTATTTTTAAATATGGTAGAGTTGGTCTTGGGGAAATTAATTGTATGCTTATTTATTTATTGAGCATTTATTTATTTCTGTATTTATTTTTAAATATGGTAGAGTTGGTCTTGGGGAAATTAATTGTATGCTTATTTATTTATTGAGCATTTATTTATTTCTGTATTTATTTTTAAATATGGTAGAGTTGGTCCTCCATAGTTTCAACACTGATACTTATAACAAATGTTTATTGAGCAGCAAATCATCATATTAGAATAATTTCTAAAGGATCAGCTTTGCCATCACAGGAATAAATTACATTTAGCAATATATTAAAATAGAAAAGTTATTTTAAATTGTAAAAATATTTTACAATTTTATTACTGTTGTTACTGTATTCAGGATCAAATAAATGCAGCCTTGGTGAGCATAAGAGACTTCTTTTAAATGCATTTAAAAAATCTTACCGATCCCAAACTTTTGAACAGTTGTGTGTATGTATATATATATATATATATATATATATATATATATGGAAGTGTGTTGCTGACAGTTGATGTTTTTGCATATGTTACTGTAACAATGGCCCGGTTTCACAGACAGGGTTTAGATTAAGCCAGGATTAGGCCTTAGTTCAATTAGGACATTTAAGTAGTTTTTATAAACATTCCTTAGAAAAACATTACTGGTGTGAATCTTGAGACAAAACAATGGCACTGACATCTTTTATTTACATTTATTGACGTATTAAAACAGATCAAACATGCATTTTTGTCCCGGACGAGCTTAAGCTTTGTCTATGAAACTGGAGGTATATGTTATAAGTTTTTGCGATTGACTTTTTGTGTTTCTACATGTGTTTGTTAGATTCTCTGGGCATGGACGGCCTGCAGCCTCTGTCCTCTGATTCCGCCACACTGGCGATGCAGCAAGCCATGCTGGGAGGAACTGACGACTCCATGGACGGCACAGAAGAGGACGACGAAGACGAGGAGGAAGAAGAGGGAATCGATGAGGAGGACGATGAAGAAGAGGATGAAGAAAGCGAGGGAGGCAGACAGATGGTTCGGAGAGATCTGGGCCTCAACCACAACGAAGGACTCGAATAAAGATTCAGATCGACGGAAATGACATAATTGACTTAACTCTTACTCATCCCCATGGCAACACATCTCAACACTGCCTGAATGGTTTCCAGTGGACACTAAGTGCCATGGATCATCCAATCAGAATGAAGAGGAGGGGCCTGCTATGGACTTGATCAATAGCTAAAATTCATGTTAAAGGGAGAATTTGAAGGAGGACAGAACATTGTGCAAAGAACGTACTGTACATTGGGCCGTCAAGCAACCGGTCATGCTACTCTCATTCATATAATGCATTTAAGCCTTACTTTGTTTATGTCTCTTTGGTTCTCAGGTGTCTTAGCATGACATAATGTCTACTACCCTCTTACAGTCAAATTGATAACCATGCAATGAGTGGATGTTTTAGGCATGTTTTTTTTTTTTTTACTTTTACTTTTTGTAGATTTAACTAAATATTCAATCTTTGAAGTTTAAAAAAAGAAGAAGAAACAAACAATCTAAATGCCTGACAGCACAATGTATGTACATTTGATAGTGATGCATTTTACCCGGACACTTCATATTTATTTTATAAACTGTCAAAAGGCAGTGGCACAATCAACAAGGATGCTGTCCGCTGGATTCACCGGCTGAGCAAATAAACATCAGCCTTGTTTAAGACAAACGCATGTTGAAAGACTCGACGCAGAGTGCCAAGCATCTCTTCCACGCAAGGAACAAAACTCTCGTGCCCTTCTGAAACCGTATAGGACCTACAAATGAAGTTTACTGAAGAACACTGCAGGAAAAAAAGACATATTTACAGGTGCGTATCACACCCTGAAACGCCCCTCTTTATTTTATGTGAAGGACGAAACAAAAAACTGTGAAGATATTTCTGAGCTTTTCAGCTAACTGTGTCTACAGATTTAATCACCTGTTTCTGATGTGATGTTTAGAAAAGACAGAGGATGTTTCTGAATGTTATTGCAGTTGGTCTTTGTGAAGTACATGTTTCTCATTATCCTTTTCTTGGTTGTTTTTTTTAAATTGTTCTTCCAGAGCAAGTGATGATAGGGGAGCTTTTTAATTATTTGTTTGTATACATTGTTGTCATAATCTATTGTGTTTCAGTAGACCATTTTTGATAATTAAAAACTATGACTCTACTGGGCCTGGGTGTCATTTTACAACCTAATGCATTACTAGTACAAATGCTAAATTATAATATTCACCATTTTGTTGGGTTGTTATTTGTGAACTAAAGCTAAACCTATGAAACATTTTGGTAACACTTTACAATAAGGTGACTTCTACAGCACTTCAATCTCTGTTAATGTTACATGAACAAACTGAACAGCTGTATTTTTTTATTAACATAAATACTGTAACAAATGTATTGATCATAGTTAGTTCATGTTAGTTAATAAGTTAACTAATGTTAACAAATGAAACCTTATTTTAAAGTGTTACCAACATTTTTGTTAACTGAAATAAAGTAAAATACAAATATTAGACAAACTAAGACAAAAATAAAATTATAAATGTTTCACTTGGCAAGTTGAATCACGTAAATGGAAATAACTAAACTGGAAATAAAATAAAACATGAGAAAAAAAAAAATATTGATATCAAAAGCACATAACCAAAAGCACAAACTATAATACTATATAAACAACATGAAAATATATATTTTTTTTTTACAAAAGATAAACAGTCCCACAGTAGTGTATTGCTTGGAGCTATTTACTTCTGGAAATGCTTGATATTATGTTTAATTTAAGCATCATAATGTTCATATAACTAAGAAATACAGTTGTGGACAGAATGAATGGCACCCCTGGTAAATATGATCAAAAATGGCTGTAAAAAATAAATCTGCATTGTTTATTCTTTTGATCTTTCATTTAAAAAATGTGCCAAAATCTAACCTTTCATTAAAGTAAAATAATTGAAAGTGGGGGGAAAATCACATTATGAAATAAACGCTTTTCTCCAAAACACGCTGGCCATAATTATTGGCTCCCTGTTATTAAATACTTTTTGCAACCTCCTTTTGCCAAGATAACAGCTCTGAGTCATCTCCTATAATGCCTGATGAGTTTCGAGAACAACTGACCTGAGATCAGAGACTATTCCTCCATACAGAATCTCTCCAGATCCTTCAGATTCCCAGATCCATGTTGGCGCTTCTTCTCTTCAGTTCAGCCCACTCATTTTCTATAGGGTTCAGTTTAGGGGACTGGGACGGTCATGGCAGACGGTCATGGCAGAAGCTTCATTTTGTGCTCAGTGTCACATTTTTGTCCTGATGGAAGATCCAACCATGGCTCATTATAAGATTTCTAGCAGAGGTAGTCAGGTTTTGATTTTTTATCAAAAAGTTGGTATTTGCTAGAATCCAAAATACCATGTATCTGAACAAGATGTCCAGGACCCTTCAGCAAAAAAATAGGCCCACAACATTAAAGATCCAGCAGTATATTTAACTGTAGGCATGGGGTACTTTTTTTTTTGGAATACTTTATTTTCAGTTTTTCAGTATACAAAAACAAAACCAGAAGAACAAGTAAAATAAGAAAAAGAAAAAGAAAAACAATCCCCCTCCCCCCTCCCCAAAAGGGTGCTCCAATATTCTACAGTAGAAATGTAATGTAACAATGTCTCCGAGGTCAATCACATTCTAATATCACATTATCCACATGATCTAGATAGGGTCGCCAGATTTTAATAAAAGTATTGTATCCCTTTCTAAGGCTATATGTTATTTTTTCTAATGGCACACATCTATTCATTTCTAAATACCACCTAGTTATAGATAGAGGGGAATCAGACTTCCATGAGACAGCAATGCATTTTCTAGCCACTGCCAGAGCTATCTCCAGAAAATGTTTCTGAAACCTGTTTAATATTTTATTAATTTTCATGAAGTTCCCCAGCAAACAAAACTCTGGGTCAACCGGTAATGAAATTTGTGTAATCTTAGTCAAGACACTACAAAAGTCAATCCAGAAATCTCTTACTTTTACACACGACCAAGTACAGTGTAGGAAGGTGCCCACCTCTATTGTACAGCGGAAGCATGCATCAGATAGCTCAGGTTTGAACTTATGAATCTTCTCCGGAGTTAAATACAGCTGATGGAGGAAATTATAGTGGATAAGTCTATGGCATGGGGTACTTTTTATCCCTGTTTGCACCAAACACATCTAGTTTGTTTGCTGCCAAAAAGCTCTTTTTTTGTTTCATCATCTGACCATAGAACCCGGTCCCTTTTGAAGTTCCGGTTGTGTCTGACAACTGAATCTGCTGGAGTTTATTTTTGGAGGAGCGAGGGGGATTTTTCTTGAAACCCTCCCAAACAACATGTGATGATGTTGGGGTTGTTTGATATATATTTTTTAGGCTTTCTGACCCCTAAGACTCAAGTAATCTCTGCAATTCTCCATTTGTGATCCTTGAAGAGTCTTTGGCCACTCAAACTTTCATCCTCGCCGTCCATTAAGACAATAGACACACGTCCTCTTCCTGGCAGATTCGTAACATCTTTAGTTGATTGGAACTTCTTAATTATTGCTCTGATGGTCAAAATGGGGATTTTCAATTCTTTAGCTATTTTCTTACAGCCACTTTCTATTTTGTGATGCTCACGTATTAAACCAGATCAAACATGCATTTTTGTCCCGGAAAGATCAAATCAAATTTTTTGGAATGAAAGATCAAAGGATAAACAATGCAGATTATTTTTTTACAGCCATTTTTGATCATATTTACCAGGGGTGCCATTAATTCTGACCACAACTGTAAGTGTATTTTTGTCAGGTATTTGCAAGAGGTAAGCCAAGGATTGCAGCATTAAGACCCCCAGTTGCTCAAATTGTTATGTTTCTCTTCTCATAATTTTTGTAACCTCAATGATTATAATCTAAAAAGTAAAGTTAGGTTTTATAAAACTCTTTAGCTGCCAAACAAGGAATAAAAATAAAACCTCATGATTTCCTGCAAGGATTTTTTTTTAAAAACCCATTCATGGCCACTGGCAAATACAGCTCTTATTCCATTGGTGAATAATTTTGGCTGACTTTCGATGTTATTAAACACCTTCATGGAAGTGTTAAAGGGTTAGTTCACCCAAAAATGACAATTCTGTCAGTAATTACTCACCCTCATGTTGTCCCAACCCCGTAAGACCTTCGTTCATCTTCGGAACACGAATTAAGATATTTTTGATGAAATCTGAGAGCTGGATCACTCCTCCATAGGTTTCTTCAGGGATTGAACTTGCCGGCCTCGAAAAGTTATTAAAGACATTGTTAAAATAGTCCAAGTGACTACAGTGGCTCAATCTTAAGTTTATCAAGCGACGAGAATACTTTTTGTGCGCAAAAACAAACAAAAATAACGACTTTATTTCAACTATTCATGTCCATCTCTTTGGGCCTCGAGTCAGTTCACTAGAGTAATAGCGTAAGCTTCTGTTGTTGTACGTCACACGCATCACCCACATGACCAGCGTCGGCCAATAGTGAGCCTACGTGTGATGTAGCTCTACAGAATCACACTACGTTAACTGACTAGAGGCCCAAAGAGATGGACATGAATAGTTGAAATAAAGTCGTTATTTTTGTTTGTTTTTGCGCACAAAAAGTATTCTCGTCGCTTGATAAACTTAAGATTGAGCCACTGTAGTCACTTGGACTATTTTAACGATGTCTTTAATAACTTTTCGATGCCGGCAAGTTCAATCCCTGAAGAAACCTATGGACTAGTATGGAGGAGTGATCCAGCTGTCACATTTCATCAAAAATATCTTAATTCGTGTTCCGAAGATGAACGAAGGTCTTACGGGGTTGGAACAACATGAGGGTGAGTAAATACTGACAAAACTTTCATTTTTGGGTGAACTAACCCTTTAAATACAATTAATGCAGTTATTTCTGGATGTTTACTCAGATTGCAAACTCCTCAATCTCAATCTTTGAAGTCTTTGTTACTATTAAGTTACAACTTACACTTAAAAGCTTTACAGTGTGTTCAAATTAACGTATTTTGGGCATGAATGGGTTAAACAGCCTTCCAATGAGCTCTAAACTTCGTGAGGGTCTGTATGCATCTGAAATAACAGTGTTTGTGGCAGTCCAGTACGCACTCTTGAGCATGGCTGCACAGGCAGGGCTGTTCAGGGCCGGAGAGTATTAATAACCCAGGAAATGACAGAGGCAAGAAAAGCCACATAGCCGGGTGCATTTGAAGTGGATTGGTGCCACTGGGCTGATGAGCATGTTAGGGAATTCAGTAGATCTGCAGGCCATCTCCACCCTCTCTCTGCTTTTGCCCCAGCACAGCAGGCTCAAAAGGTCCTCTCTAGCTCTTTTAATTACCCTGTAACCCAGCCCAGTACAGCCTCTCATTTTGCTCAGACCTCCTCCAGTATTTAAGATCCACGCCAGCATCCCTCTCCTCTCCAGCCTCAGGACCAGTTTACTGCTGGATTGATCCACAACATTCCTCTACTGGACAAGGAACTCACAAGGTAATGTAAGAGCAACTGTACAAAAATAAGTTTTTTTTTTTTTTGCATATTAACTCGTGTCTGTTTCATTGATTGGACGAATATGTGACGCTACCCGTTTAACGTTTTTTATATGTAGCCTATTAGTTATTATTTGCATATTCGAGACATTGGTGTCATGCGCTAATATAGCACGTGACTTGTTTAACGTCGTGTCTCGCTCTTGTTGCGCTTATATTTCAGAAAGTACCATAACATTTTTACTGAATAGACTGTTCGGACCACAGAAGTAAAAATACAACCTTTCTTCACCCCTCCCCCCTCCCCTCCCCTCCCTAACGATAAAACACCAAATAAGGTGCGTGACAGTTTTTGTGACTACAATGCTCATCACTATTAGGTACACGCTACTTACGCTTATGATTGGTTGTTTATTGCTCCAGGACTTATATCTCAGGACTAAAAACGGTGCTTAACCTGGGTTAAAATGCGTTTAAAGTGTCGACAACCCTGGGTTGTGAGCTAACAGCCCAATCTAATAATCGTTAACACTTGTGTGTTAAAGTGGCAGTGCATCAAAGGTTTTGGTTAATAAGAACTTGGATAGCTGCTAACGAATTTAATGGAAGACATAATTACTGTTTAATGGAATAATTTCATGGAAGGCTTAATCTGACACTTTATCATGCAAGTAAGTCTCATCATTGATTATATGGGTTCTTGTATCACATTTGCTATTAAACCACATCATCAAAGTCAAAGTGCTTCTTGATAACGTAAGGTGTCCCTTATGCATTCATATTGATGTTAATGGACTAGTTTTGTGTCAATATGAATGAAAGCACATGTGATACATTAAACCAAGAAATTGCTTACCAGAAATATCCTTTTGCTTTTCTGTTGTCGTCCACAGTTGGCAGGATGTCTATCGCCAACACGGCCGCCCAAGCGATGCTCTCTGATGCCCTGCTGAGGGATAGTAATGGGGACAGTCGCATCCGACACCTAGAGCTGGATTTGCCATTGGATAAAGTCATCAAGTTCATTTCTGTGGGCCTGCCGCTCCTTCTGGTGTCCATGGCTTTTGCCAGAGAGATTTCTATCGGTTAGCAGCTCTTTTTCTCTCCCTAGTGTTCCGTGCGCAAATCACAGGACATCAGAGCGACACTGGCACTGCAGTAATTTCCCAGACCCTTGAGTTAATTGACTGACCATTAGCTTGAGGGCTGGGCTGATGGAACTCTGGATGTAATTAGTGTTCATCTGAGGTGACAGGGCTATCTCCACTGCTCGGGGAACTGTGGTGAAATATGAGAATTAAGCATCTGCTAATGATTATTATCAATTTATATGGCATTGCAAACCAACTGGAATTGCTGTCAGGGGAGATATCTTTAGTGACTTGAACAATATGGGTGCCAATTGCTGGCTGTAAATGCCACCAACTTGAGCTTTCCTGCCAACAGTGCTTTGGAGAGAACTGTCTGTTTTGTGTAGGCAGTTGACTTTGAGGTTGCAATCAGTTCCTCTGGAGCTGGTCTGCAATCAGCTCACACAGATGTTAATTGGCATGAGGATGATTAAGAGAGACGTGTAGAGATGACAAGGGTCTGTAATTACAGTCAGTCTGCTCTTTCCCAGCTCTCTATTTCAGACGAACGAGAAGATATGCTAATTAAACTGAGACGTGCAAGGCAAGCAGACTGATTCTCTCTGGCTCTGAACGTGGTCTGACAACACTCAGGTTATTTGGTTAGGATACGTCAACACAAACTTTACAGTGGAAAGAAAATTACATCACATGCTAATCCCGGTTGCAAAAAGGAATGCAGGATATAAATATATACATTACCAGTCAAACGTTTTGGATTTTTAATGTTTTTAAAAGAAGTCTTTTCTGCTCACCAAGGGTGCATTTATTTTATTAAAAATACAAAAAAATACAGTAATATTGTGAAATATTACAATTTAAAACAGCTGTTTTCTATGAGAATATATAGTAAAGTGTAATTTATTCCTGTGATCAAAGCTGAATTTTCAGCATCATCACTCCAGTCTTCAGTGTCACATGATCCTTCAGAAATCATATGATGATTTGATGCTCAAGAAACATTTCTTCTTATTATCACTGTTGAAAACAGTTATGTACATTTTTATTTCAGCATTCTTTGATGAATAGAAAGTTCAAAAGTACCTTGGGAAAAGAAAAGAAGTTTGGGGTCAGTAAGAATTTTTCTTTTCTTTTTTGGGGGAAATAAATAAAAGAAATCAATATTCATCAAGGATTAATTAAATTGATCAAAAGTTACAGTAAAGACATTTATTATGTTACAAAAGATTCTATTTCAAATACATGCTGTTCTTTTGATCAAAGAATCCTGACCAAACATTTTTACACAACTGTTTTCAACATTGATAATAATAATGAAAGTTTTTTGAGCATCAAATCAGCATATTAGAATGATTTCTGAAGGATCATGTGACACTGAAGACTTGAGTAATGATGCTGAAAATTCAGCTTTGATCACAGGAATAAGAATAGAAAACGGTATTTTAAATGGTCATACTATTTAACAATATTTCATTTTTTTGAATTTTTAAACAAATAAATGCAGCCTTGGTGAGCGGAAGAGACTTCTTTTAAAAACATCCAAAATTTTTGAACGGCAGTGTATACATAAATAGATTAAGATTGAAACTTTTGGGAAACTCAGATGTCTATTAATATCTCTCCTGGTTTGAAGACCTTTGGTATCATATAATTTGCAGAGATGTTCTTTGGAGCTCAGTTATCCATAATAGCCGTGGCCCGTGGGTGTGGGGCATGTTGTGTTCAGTCAGTAAATTGGAGGTTGACTGTAGGTTTTGGAAGGTGACACAGATGTTTAAGTGGTCCATATAAAGTAGGGCTTGGCCTCCTCTCAGCAACTGGGTCACACCCTCTCGCCCAGGCAGCAAAACTCCCCGCAGAAGGGTGTTTCCTGGCAGCCTCGGTGGTTTCACCATCTGTGTCCCTGGACAAGATCTAGCATTATTACAGACATGCCACCCAGCTCTTAACCAGCCTCTCCACTTACACAGCAACAAGTGATGCTAGAACACTGTCATTTATATCTCAGCATGTTCATTTCTCTGTGTTCCCTCCCAGGCCCACAGATTAGCTGCTTTCCTCCCAACAACTTCACAATAAAGCAGGCAGCATATGTGGATACGTACTGCTGGGACTCTCTCATGCACCATGAGTTTGACACAGATGGGAACTTTGAAGAACGTTCACTGTGGGTACATAAAGTGAGTGAAAACATTCATAAAGTACATCACAAATGAGACCTCTTTAATATTTTTGTACATCACAAATGAGACCCACAAATATCTTTTTTTTTCTTTTTTCTAGATGTCATATAAAATTCAGAGCAAATTTTCTCAAGTATCTTGTTTTTTCTCCTGAACAAGAGACAAGTGATTTTATATGGAGTTACAGAATCTCATTCTACACATCTCATTGTCTCAAACTAAGCACTGATTTTCCTAAATGTAGTTTATAGATCTGATATTTACTTTGTCAACAATTTTATTTTGTGTCCATTTAAATTCTATTATAAATCTGAGACAATTTATTTTTTAATAAATAAATGCATTATTTGTATTAAATAAGTAAATAAAATGCATAAGTAGAATAAGTAAATAAACATTAATGTTACAAATAAATTAATAGATGACAGACAGACATATAGATAGAAAGAAAGACAGACAGACAGATATTATTCTCAGATAGATACTACTGTACTCAATTGTTCTCAGATAGATAGATAGATAGATAGATAGATAGATAGATAGATAGATAGATACTACTGTACTCAATTGTTCTCTTGCTTGTGCAGATGTTTCCGTACTCCTTATTGGTCATGTCTATGATGATGTACCTGCCAGCTGTGATCTGGCGGTATCTAGCCGTGCCCAGTCTGACCTCTGACCTGTTTTTCATCATCGACGAACTGGACAAGTCTTACAACCGCTCTGTCCGCCTGGCCCAAAGCATCCTGGACCTAAAAGTACAATCAGAAAACCCACTGCAGTTTCAGGCTGAGCTTGAGAGGTATATGCACATTTTTTTTGTGTGAAGTGTGTAATTTTCGCATTTTTTGCTGCTGTTGTTGTTGTTTCCAAACATTAAACAAAAAAAAAAAAACATTTTATTTTTTGTCTTTTTAGAGCCAAGCGCAAGCGGTACTTTGAGTACCCCCTGCTGGAGAGATACATGCAGTGCAAGCATGGCTCCTACTTCCTGGTCAGCATGCTCTTCCTGCGAGGCTTCCTGCTCCTGACCTTCATGTCCGCCTCGTGCCTGTACCTAATCTACTTCCACCTCTCCGCCTTTCTGCAAGATGAATTCAGTTGCTACGTGCGCACCGGCCTCCTCCGTGACCAGCCCTGGGTGCCTGAGCTAGTTCAGTGTAAAATGACTGGCCTACTTGTGTTCCAGGTCATTAGCGTAGCTAACGGTGCCGTGTATGTGCTGCTAGCTCCTATTGTTCTCTTTAGCCTGCTGCGTTTGTTCTGCTGGGACACAACCTTCCTCTCGCTTTACGAGGTGCTGCCCGGATTGGGGCTCATGAGCGGTCAGAAACTGGGCTGCCCACTGAATGATCTCAACGTGCTGCTCCTCTTTCTGCGCGCCAACGTAGCACAGCTGCAGTCGTACGGACGCCTGAGGGCTGTGTGCTCCCTCGCGCCTCCTCGGTTAAAGGGGTCTAAGGGTGGGCTGACAGAGGAGCAGGCGGAAGAAGCGGCAGAGGCCAGAGAGGAGCTCGAGGAGGAGATGAGAGAGGCCAGAGAGGAGGGAAAGCTCAATCTTGTAGACATCATGACTGTGCTGGGAGCAGCCAGAGGAAACGCAGTGAACTGTCCCGAGCAGCGCCCTCTTGTGGAACAAGACATGACGCTTGGTACAGTCACTCTCATCTATATACTTAAACGCATCGTGCTCGTTGGCATTTTCGTGGCCGTCATATGGGACGTTCAGAAATTCATCAAAGTGACATAAATATGTTATTTAGGGTGTTAGACACCGAACATTTGTGTGTCTACTGTGTCTACGGACATTATATTTAGTGTGAACTGAAGATAATGTGGTAAAAAAAAGACGACACAATGTGCCATTTCTTGAAAATATATAGCATTTTAATATGAGCCTGCTTCTCACCACACATTGTGTGTTGGTTCATTAAATAATTTGGCCAATTTTAACCTATATTACTGTATTCCACAGATTTTGATTTAAAATCAGTGAAAAAAAAGTCCATCTGGGCCTAATACATACCACTTTCTTGAAAGTCTATTACTAAAATTCTATTTATGAAACTATTTTATTTGTTCTAAAGGAGGCTTTAATGAAAAACAAAAGTTTTAGCATCCGCATTGTGCACTTTATTTTAGACAAAAGATGTCTCGCACTTAACATCCCAAAATTGATGCCCCTAACAGCACTCTCTGTCTCTTTACAGAGCCTAACCACCAGGGGTACCATGAGTTGAAGGAGACTACTACATGTTGTTTTGCCTAAAGCACCAGCAATGGACTGAACCAGAAGTGTCATACTCTTGAGACCCCTGTAGAACAGCTAAACCTCTGAGATCAAATAAAGATGAAGATAGTGCAAGAACATCCAATAGCTACAACTCCTCTTTTATAGTCCATTAATATAATCCCTATGGATCTCTTACACAAATCACCTCAGGAATAAAAACCCAAAGTCTGTATTGACAATTTGAAAAGCCTCCAATAGCTAGCCCTCATAAACTTGATTTTTATATCTTTATTTATTCTTTTCATTCTGATTATCTGATGTGAGTGGTTTCTATACTTCTTTGAAAACTGGATTCTTTACTTGACCTTTTGTTTTCTTTTGTAAAGTAGGCGAAATAAAAATTGTTTATATTTGTGTTTTCTTTGTTCATTTCCACATTATACACATACACAGATGTATGGAACATTTAAACGTTTGATTTTTATTCAGCAGGGGAAAAATGTATCATGGTTTACACTAAAAAATTACACTGCTGGTAATCAACTGTTTTCAACATTGATAATAATATGACTGCTGAAAATGCAGCGTTCCCATTACAAAAACAAATTACATTTAAAAAAATATTAAAATAGAAAAGAGTTATTTTATATTGTAATAATATTTCACAATATTGCTGTTTAAAAAAAAGACAGTAATATAAACATTTTAAAAAATCTTACCGACCACCAAATTTTTAAATGGTAGCATATATATTCTAGAATAATTATCTTTCATAAAATTAAATAAGACATTAAGAACTACATAAACGTAACATATTTTAAGTGTTACACCTGCAGAATAGTACAGCTTATCCTGTACCTTAGAGAGAAATATCACCTCCTCTCCTCCTATGAGAATTAACGTGTCCCATAATTGCCAGACTTTCTGAAGTTTCTGTTCCCATGAGAGCTATCAGTGGACCATGGCTCCAAATCTTATGTTTTAAAGATGTTACTTTCCCCCTTCAGCTTGAAGTTTCACAGTATCTACTTAAAGTTTCATACATTCAAGCACTGGAAATGATGGCCTGACATATTGGGAGCACTAAAATAAAACTACAGTACATCCATCTACATGACAATAAGTTAGCGAGACATTCCAGTCAAGATTTTGGAGATATAGGACAACAGCATTTTTTTTAGGACTATATTTATAGCAAATCACCATTATACAGTATTTTATAGTAAACAAGGCTGGGGCAAGTTGTCACACGGGTAAGTTGTCATAAAGCTCATTTTAGTGAACTCTTTCTTCCAAACTAAAATTCCAGTATGATATTTTTGCTACAGTTCCGGAGTAAACATTAAAACCACACTGATACGCATTCAGACAGGAGTATAAAACAAAGGCAGATTTTAACCAAAATTCTGAACGTTATTCTAAGGATGAGGGAATTATAAAAAAATGTCAGGTTGGGGTAAGTTATCACACTTATAGAAATATATAGACAGTGACTTTGCAAAAATAGCCCTACTTATTCAGTGGAGAAAAGGCCCCGAGTCCCTTATATCATCAACGGCCTCTTCCTGTTTTTGCTGTGGCTCATTGAAAGTCTGTTTGGAGAGATGCTACCTTGTTCCCATGCCCAGTCCATCTGCTGCCCTCTCTGCGTGAGATCCATTTGCTCAGCACCAATGTTTGATCTCAAAGACTCTAAATTTCTCACAGTATGGCCACAGACAGAACCCGAGGAGGGCAATAGGCAAAACAGTCTGGATCTTATTGAGCAAGTGAAAATTAGATGCTGGTCATTTAAATCTAATAACCAATTTCAACTCAACCATGAAAGAAAGGGGGTCACAGCTGCTCATATTTTCCTCACACTCAATAGCATAAACAAGAGCTACAGACATCATTGTGTACCGACGACTTACATGATATGCTATTTTTTGCAGCATCATATATGCTCGTACAACAATTTGAGGACTTGTTATTTACTGTGGTACCAATGCAGAGGAGGGGGTCACTCGAGTAACACACCACCAATAGCATCTTTTGTGACATAAGCTGGTTTGCCCTGTGATCAGGGTTGAGTTAATGAGCCTGCTAAAAGCCAGGAGAAACTCGATTAGTTTGATGGAGTACTGAAGCAGAGATCTGCCCAGAGGATTTCATAATGGTCTTCTCAGAGGTGAGGACGAAACTGCAAATAGTAAATCAGCTCTAGAGAAGAGAAGCCTGAAAGGGCAAAAATACTAACTGGAGAAAGCCATTATGCTGTAGCCTTTATGCTATATGTATGTAGCCCACTCATTAATACGAAACATATAAGACTGGAAAGTATAAAAGACCTTGATCCATCAGACCTTGATAATTGATGTTGATATTATGTAGACCTATTTAGGCTTAGCCTACTCTAAAAGGGATTTTAGGAGAAAACTCACCCAGCAATGTCACCCAGAAAAAGTAAAAACTATTTCTACTATGTCCACATGAGGGCAGAATTTAGTTATGTATCAAATGAAGATTACCGGTTTCAAGCATGGTTTCAAGGCACAAGGCAGAATTTATAGAGAACAAATAGCTTATATGGACAAGCATAATTATTGCTTTGACATGGTAAAATTGATTGCTTTAACAATAATTGAATATGCATATCATCATTATCTGAAAACTATACCTTTTAAACATTGTTTATAAACCCTTTAAACCCAGATGTAGGCCTAATAAATGTTATATAATGATTAAAGTAAGCGCAAATTGTAGGACCACGTGACTAATTGCTTCACGACGTAAAAAAAACGTTCCATTATATTCAAGATGAATAATTTGATTTGTGTAGCCTATGTTTTATTCCATTTAAATAATACATAATAAATCAATGTTTTTTTTTTTTACATCTTTTATTATTTTGGGAAAATTCCACATACTGTGCACAAGAAAAGATTGTCAGGGTCAAAGCCAAATTAGGGGCCAAGCACCGAAGGTGCAGAGGCACCTATTGTATCTGTTAGTTTTCTTATTATTATTCTTCTTCTTCTTCCGCAAATGGAAGTCTATGGCAGCCCTATGAACCGTATATAGGAAAATGATGAAATTTGGCACACTTATAGTGATGATAATGAAAAGTAATTGTAGCAAGTTTTGAGTCTCTAGGACCAACTCTATAGCGCCACCACCAGTTCAAAAATTCACCATTGAAATGGTTATAACTTTTGTAGCCTTTGATCTAGAGACATGAAACTTAGTACACCTGATTCCACTCATCATGTTGATTACAACCAATACCTTACATTAAGACCCCTGCCCATTACAGTAGTGGCCATTTTGAAAAGTACAGTAATCAGTTTTTTCCCTACTCCTCCTTCAAATTTTGTCCAATTTTGTCCAAACATGTGCTCAAATGATCTTCGGACTGAGCCGCATAGAAATGACTGAACAGAATTTTTTGCTATACTGAAAAAAAAAAAGTTATGATGTCGCAAACTTAACAAGGTCGACCCAAAATTGGTTCAGAAGCTATAGCTCGGCCAAAGTTTGATCAATCGAAACGAAAATTGGTACGCTTCATCGGAAGCATGGTCTGAGGGTGCATGCCAAAGTTGGGAACAGCGCCACCTATGGGTCATGAGATATCAAAAATAGCTATTTTGGCCAATAACTTTTGAACAGTTTGTCAGAAAATCATAAATGTGGTATCTATGGATTTCTTGTGTCATGTCGATTCTGGGGATATCAATTTTGCCAGGATTGGATGTACCACGTGTCCGCCATTTTGAATTTTGTCATAATTTGCCATATCTTTTAAAATATTTGACATATCTTCACAAAATTTAGTATGGATCATCATTTGCATAGCCTTAAGGTACCTGAGAAGTTTGAACACAGCGCCACCTAGTGTTCCAAAGGTATAAGGTTTTTTGAAAAAAAGCTTATAACTTTTGCAAATATAGTTCAAATTTTAATTTCTTTATGTCATTATATTCCTTGGCTTATACCGATTATAACGATATCTCGTTTGTCATTTTCCAACAATGTGACTGCCCGCGATATTGGGGCAAATGAAAAACAGTTTTTTCGCTACTCCTCCTTCAAATTTTGCTCAATTTTGTCCAGAATTTTATCAGATGGTCTTTGGACCAAGCCGCACAGAAATGACTGAACAGATTTTTGATTTTTGCTACCGTTCCCGAGATATTCGTCTCTAAAGTTGACCTAGCCTGTGTTTGTTGCCTTATGCTAGTTAGCTTAGCATAATAATTGGTTAGCATGCTAACCAAATGTCATTCTTTCTAATGCGTCTCTTCAGCTATCAGGATAACCATAAGCTACATTAGCATTATGCTAGCTTAGCATGCTAATCTGGTTAACCTGCTTTTGTGTGCTCATTCTTACACTGAAGGATCTCCTCTGCAGCTTGTGATTGTATGTCCTCTGAGTGGCGCAGTCTGCTAAACAATGTGTTACTAATCCTGAGCCGTTCCGGTTGTGGTTTCAAGCCCCATGTTATACAATTTCAAATCATTGTGTAATGTTATGTAATTTGGAGCCAATTGCTGCAGTTTTAC